AGCAACAGTTGCATTAACTATTTCAGAAAAATTACTGCCTTTAAGAAAAAAAAAACAAACAAAGCCCTCAAACTATGTTTGTATCCATAATTGACATCCAGATTGGGTTTATGTGTGATGCATTGTTTGGAAATTTTGCAATACAAACTGGCATAAGAATTCCTTATTCTGATGATGCACTTTTATGTATTTTTTATTAGAGGGTAGAATTAATTTTAGATTTTCAGCTTAATGGATTTTCAAATTTTTTCCCAAAGAATTTTCTTTACAATTAGTCTTTAAATTGGATACCTTGTGCTGTGGTGTACTGCTCTGCCTCGGAGAGGACGAGAGGACACCTAGCTCCGTCGTTAAGAGCAGCTGTGACCCTTAGGGTGAATTGTCAATGCTAAGGTATACTTTGGACACTGAAAGAAGATACTTGGTTTGGATGGGGTTGTGATTAAGAAATATATATTTCTGTTTTATTTATAGAGTTGTTTTATAGTGCATACAAGCCAGCAGTCAGCCAACAGTGTGGTCCTTGAGCTTTCTGAAACTCTCTGTTCTTTTGCCTTCAGTCTGTTATCTTCAAAACAACAAAAGCGCTTCCTCTTCCCCTTTTTGCTATTCTTTTTCCCCTTTTGCCTGTGTGCTCAAGGTAAGGCTTATTACACAGAAACCAGAATGCCAGCCAGTATTTTCCTAAGCCACGACATGAAACCAGTGACCCTGTGCAACGTGGCACAGAACACTAATTTTGGTCCCATGGCTGGAACTTGAGAATGACTGAAAGCCATACCTATGAAGCATCTCCCAAGGATTGCCATTTGATCTTTAAGAGGACTTTTATACAAAAAAGTGTAAATAAAAATTTAAAAAATTAAAAAACAAAGAAAATAGTCTTTCTTTTTTGCTTTGTTTTTAAGAAAACAGTAGCTAGGTGTTAAGGTACATGCTTGTAATCCAGACACTGAGGCAGGAGGAACAACATGGGTATGAGGCCAGTCTGTGATACATGATGAGTTTCAAATCAACCCAGACTACAAAGTATGAACTTCTATATCAAAAATAAATAAATGAATAAATAAATAAATAAATAAATAAGGATTTTGGTTTTACTTTTGTTTGAAGATAGTCCTCACCGTGTTGCTCTGGCTGGCCTGGAACTCACTATGTAGACCAGGCTGACCTTTGCCTCTGAGCCACTACTCCCAGTTCAATAAATGATTTTAAAGAAAAAAATCAGAGATCTTGCCTTTAAGTTACAATAACATAAAGTATTTGAATGAATAGCTTATCTTTAATTTTGAGTTGAAACCAAAGAAATATTTTTATAATTTCAGTCCTGTGTTCAGTGCCCCATTATTCTGTCTTTTCACCACAACAGCTACTTTAGAAACAGGCTTGGTGACATAGACCTGTAACTCCAGCTTCCTAGAAGGCTGAGGCAGGAGGATTCCAAGTTCAAGGTTTGTCTGAGCTACGCTGAGAGTTCAAGAGCCAGTCTGGACAATTTAGCAAGACTCTATCTCAAAATAAAAAATAAAATAAGAGTTGGGTATATAGTTCAGTGGTAAAATGCTTGTGTGAGGCCATAGATTCAGATGATCCTCAGTGCTAACCAAAATTTTCAGTAAAAAAAAAACGGGATAGCTATATATTTATAGTCCATAATAGAATTATTCAGATACTCATTTTTCATTGTGCCAGCAGTCAGATAAATAAACTTTGTTGGCATTTGTTGAAATTATTCACTAAGAACATAAATTTTAATATGAAGGTTTTGTTTTATGTGCATGTGGTTTATGTGTGTTCCGTGTGTACAGGTGTACACTCTCAATGGTATGCATATGGAATCAGAGAACACCCTTGGAAATGGTCCTTACTTTCTACTTTGGTCTCTCCCTGCTGTTTGTCCCAACACTGTATACTATAGGGTTACTGACCCACATGTCTCTGGAGGAAGTCTCCTGCCTCAACTTTCCATTTTACTGTAGTAGTGCTAGGATAATAGACAGACAGGGGCCACCATGTCAGGCTTTTAGGACATGCATAACAAGTGCCCTTTACCCACCGAGACATCTCCCTAGCCCAAGATATAATTATTCTACAGTTCCAAATCCCCCTAGCCTGTTACAGCTTGGCTCGGGAGTACTGCAAATAAATACTAGACAGAGACTTCCAATAAAATTCTACCCTTGACATGTCGGCATCCAGCCTCAGTGGGGTCAGACATTCTACGGTAGGCGTGTGTGGATTAGAAACATTAGGCAGACAAAACAGAGATACAAAAGAAATAGAAACACAGAATAGAGTCAGAAGGGCAACCCAGTGAATGCTGAATTTGCCCATGTTTGTTTTCCATATGCTTGATATACCCCACTCCAAAAGGGGAGAGGGGAGGCAAAAGACTTCTTTACCAGACACAAAGAACAAACACGGAAATTACCTCTTCAATACCTGAAACATCTTGAGTTAAGTATTCTGTTGTTTAGGCAAGACATGCAGCAACCACACCCTAGGTCAAGTATCCTGTAGGCAACCACACTCTGGGCCAAATCTCCTATTGTAACCTTGCAGGAGCAAGAATAGTCTTAAACTCTCTGACCTTTGGTCAAGGTGGAATGAATCCACATTCCTGAGCTCCAACATATTCCCCTCCCCTTTTTAATTTATTTATTAAAGTCTTGCTTCTGCTACAGGACAAACAACTGTGCCTAGCTTAGGCTGTCTTCATCCACCTTCTAAACTTATCTGTCATTGGTACATGCATCCCATTATACATGTCCTATCTCAGGTTTCCTAGAGGGAAAAAGATCTTACCCATCATTGATTACCATATTCTTTTAATAAAGGGCTAGAGGAGGGTGCATAGCTAGATGCTGTACTCCTCTGAGACAACTTTCCATCGAGAGAGTTCACAAATAACTAGACAATCATAAGGAAGCAGATAATGCTTTGTGAATACACATGTCCCTAAGGCCACAATATCTCCTAATAAGGGAGTAGAGGATGACCAAGATAAGATGGCCTTTTTAAATTGATCTAGGAGTCTTTAACAGTTTTTAGCTGCATTAAAATCCAAATTTGTCTTATTAAACATATTAAATAGAAGGACTCATTGACATCATGTGAAATTTTTCTCAGATAAGCTCTACTTTTTTCTAACAAGTAACGTCTCCATTGTGAGCCAAAGTAGTTACAAACATTAACAAGTCCATACCATAATATTCTATATGAAAATTAATAATAAATACACAATTTGTCAAGTTACAATTCTCATAAATTCATTCCAATTGAAAAACAAGAAAAGGTTTCTGTGATGGGTAGGCTATGAGTCATTTTTTTCTCTCTTATAGTCCAATTCATTGCTGCCTTTAACTTTTGAAGGTAAGTTCAAACTGTCCCTGTTATGATTTCAGCCACAAAAAGACTTGTGCGTGTGCAGACAAGCCCTCAGCAGAAGTGCCTAATGGCTCCAGGGATGTTAAAGGGCCCTATGTGACCCATGTGTGGTGTGGTTGCGTCATTCACATATGATTCAGCTAAGCCCTTGGGCGCATGTGTGTACGATATAGTCACGTCAACTCCCTGTGCGAATGTGCTAGGCAGCTTTTAAAAGCTGAACACACACCCGCCTCTCTCACTCTCTCTGCACACTGACTTCCCCAGGCCTGTGCACGCCCCCTCTAATAAACTCCTAAACGGGTTTGTTGCGTGTTCCATGCTTCCTTCTCACTCGCGCCAGGTAATTTCAGTTCCAGTCTCTAAGCAGCCGCAAAAACTTACACGCCACTCCTCTTCGTTCTCACACATTGCCTCCATAATAGTGTTCCATTAAAGAGGCTTTAACAAGTCTCTTTCCCCCAGAGGGAAAATTTCTGAAGTCCCAGTTCTCAAGTCCTAAGCAGACTGAATACCATACCAGCAAACTTAACTTCTATGCCGCAAGATATGGGGTAGATACAAGGCTAGATATGCAGTCAGCATTCTTGGGCTGGCTCCAAAGTAAATAAGATTCACTAAGGTCTGGAAGTTTTGCAGTAGGTTCACCGAGAAGCTGGGAATCACCAACCCTCATCACAACCTTTGTTCTCAGACTGAAGCTGATGACTTCAGAGGGTCAGGAGCAGGAGTTAAGCAATCTCACTCCAACTCCTCTGGGAAGGCCTCAGCAGCTTCTGGGCCATCAGGGCTGGTATTATTCTGCTTCACACACCAGACCAGACGTTGAGAAAGCCATCAGGCTTCATTCTCCTCCTGTGAAAAAGCACAAACATGCCCTCGACCCCATATTAGAACAGCGTCAGGTCCCTTCCATATTCCAGTGCAAGGGTCCTTCCATTTTGCTTTAGAGAAGGTCGCTTCGGTGACCTCATGCCAAAATCTATCCATGGTAGATTGCTCATAGGCATCCACATTCAAGAAATTTAGAATAAAAAGGGCATGATTTAAGGCATTATGTGGTAACTGAAGGTATAATACCACCATTTTTACCTTTTGAAGTTGTGTTTTCAAAGAGCCATAAGCATGCTCCACAATTTCTTGTCCTTGAGGATTATAAGGAATTCCTGTTTTATGTTGAATATTCCATTAGAAATAAAACTGCTGAAATGTTTTGCTAATATATCCAAATACACTATCTGTTTTTATCATTTTTAGGAATTCCCATATATGAAAAACACTTTAAGCAATGAGTTATCACATGCTTAGTGCTTCTCCAGTTTGTGCAGAGGACAGCAAGAAACCTGAATATGTATTGATTGTCACATGCACATATCTTAATATGCTAAATTCTGTAATACGAGTAACATCTATTTGCCATAAATGATTAGGAAGAAGGCCTCAAGGATTTACTCCAAGATGAAAGAGAAGTAAATACTGTGAGCATTTATCAAATTGCTTAAAAATCTGACGAGCAATTTCTCTTGCTAATGCAAATTGTTTTCTTAAACTTTCACTGTTTTGATGATGTAAAACATGTGATAGCAGAGCAAGCTCAAGCTGAGATAAAGCAATCGAGTAAATTTATCAGCTAAAGCGTTCCTTTCAGTCAATAGGCCAGGAAGATTTGCTCTCTAATATGGTCCACAAAACATGGTAATTTTCTTTGATGAATGGCATCTTGAATTTGCTGGAACAACATTTTAACTTGATTATTACTAGTTCCAATGCAGGAAACTGTTTCTATTACATGAGACGCTTTAAAAATGTAGTGACTGTCAGTTTATAAATTAGGTACATTACTTACAAAAAGGTGGAACACTCCAGCAACAGCTGGCAGCTCAACTATCTGAGCTGAGGCCAGATCTGTTTGCCCTACATATTCTTTACCATCAACAACATAGGCTGCTCCTCCACTGAAGAAACCATCTGTAAAAATTAGCATAGCATCCTTTAAGGAATCTTTCATTACAGTTTTTGTGGGGGGGGGGAGAATGTACTTGTGCAATTTGCAGCAATTGATCAGCTGGAAAAAGATTATTAATTTGACCTACAAATTGAGCAAATGCAATTGCTCAATAATTATTATTTTGAAATAATCAATTTAGTGCTTAGTATAAGGAACATTGATCACATTAGGTTCTCTACCAAAATATTGCCTAGATTCCAATCAGTTTTTCTGTACCAAACAAGCTACTATTTCAAAATAAGGGTTTAATATTTCGACTGGCGGAACAGGAAAATGGAACCATAAAAGAGGACTGTTTTGCCATAATACTGCCATGGAGATAAGTTTTGTAGGTAAAATATATGTTTGCCAAGGTTGATCATAATTAATATAATTTACATGCTTGTCGTCGCACCTCCTAGGTGCAGCATAACCTTGGGCAGGTCCCCTGCCGCGCATAGAGACCGGGTCCAGTGCAGAGAGCCATTTGTCCTGGGAAACAGGGTGCAACTAGAAAGGGGGCCGTCTTCTTGCCCGTCATGTTGAACACACATTTGTGTGGAATCTGGAGAAAAAAATTTACATGTTTATTCTGTATTTCATATTCCATCTGCTCCAGTACCTGTCTAGCAGCATCTATAAGGTGCCTGGGGGAACCAGGATTACTATTCCCCTTACGAATCTCACTGAAGGACTCAAGGTCTCCCATAGGAAATTTTAAAGAGTATCTTGGCCACTGAATATGTCCTAATAATTTCTGAAAATCATTCAGAATTTGCAAGCTATCTTCCCCATTTTCCAATTTTTGAGGTTTAATTTCTTTAGGATACAACATATTCTTAAATACTGAAAAGGCGGGCGCCTTTGCACTTTCTCAGAGACAATAACTAACTCTGCCTGGGCAAGACTCTGCTAAAGCTGTCCATATACTGCAAGCAAAACTCCTTCATTTTTTGGACAAGCAAGATATCAGCTATATAATGAATAATACAATGTTGTCGGTGTTTCTATCCTGCCTGGTTCCCACAGTCATTAAGTCCCAAAGAAATCACACAGAGGTCTACATTAATTATAAACTGGGTCATTAGCTCAGGCTTCTTATTAACTCTTATAACTTATATTAGCCCATTATTCTTGTCTATGATAGCCTTGTGGCTCAGTACCTTATTCAGCAAGGCAGTCACATCTTGCTTCCTCTGTGGCTGGGGCACAGCTGCAGACTAGGACTTCCTTCTTCCCATAATTCTTCTGTTCTCATTGACCTGCCTCTACTTCTTGTCTGGTTGTCCCTATACTTACTGCCTATACTTCCTGCCTGGCTACTGACCAATCAGCATTTATTTAAAATATAAATGACAGAATACAGACAAATTGATCTCTAACATTTTGTATAGCCTGAGCCACAAAATTCTGGCATAAAATAGCACTGTTTACCATACCCTGAGGCAAGACGTCCCAATGATATCTTCTCGTTGGCTCTTTGAAATAAACTGATGAAATACTAAATGCAAATCTTTGACAGTTTTGTGGTGCCAAAGTGTTGGTATAAAAACAATCTTTTAAATCTAAAATAATTTTATAGGTATCCTTTGGTATGGCTGTAGGAGAAGGCAACCCAGACTGTAACGCTCCCATCAGGTGCATGGTATCATTAACCTCTCTTAAATCTTGTATCTCCATTTTCCTGATTTCTGTTTTATCACAAAAATAGGAGAATTTTCAGGGGAAATGGAAGGTGTAATGTGACCATTATCCAGCTGTTCCTACACTAACCACCAGGCAGCTTGTAATTTTTCTTCTGTTAGAGGCCTCTGATTTACCCATACAGGCTTGTCACTTTTTCAAATAATTGGGCCTGCATGGAATGCAGGCTTTTCAGTGACCTCTCCTAAAAATACCCTAATCCTTCCCTGGGAGGCCTTTTGTTAGGTATGATAGGATCAATCTTTCCCTCATCCTCCTTGTTTAACCCTTGAATGAGCAACAATCCTTGTTGGAATATTTGATTAACAGTAACTGTTTGGGGGCTATATAAATATACCCCCATTTGGACCATAATGTCTCTGCCCCAAAATTTACCGGTAAGTGAAGAACAATGTATAGACAAAATGTCCTTTCATGACCCTCTCCATCTGTCCAGGAAATCTCATTACTACTTTGCTCAGGATTTTGAGTTTGACCAATCTCTTGTAACTGTACAATCGTCTCCATTTAAGGACACCTTGAAGGCCATTGACGGCTGTTCTAACCGAACTATCCACACCAGTATCCAGAAGACCAGAAAAGCTTTTTCCATTTATAAACAAGCATGTTCTGGTCACTGTGGTCCTATGAGTTGTAGCCAATAGGCATCAGATGAACCAAAACCAATCCGTCTTCTCTCACCTCTCTTAACTAGATTTCTAGTTTGCACTTGAGAAAGTAAAATTAATTGTGCAAGTCTCTGGCCTGTTTTTTACCCCAGAAATTCCATTAGGTGAGTCAGTCATAACCTTGATTTCTCCAAGAGCAACAAAGAACCCTTGCAAAGTGTTGCTGCTTCTCCCCTATACAAATCCTACAGGGCCTTCTGGTAAAGGCCCATAAACCCCAGTGGGGAGAGCCTTCATCCCCATTTCAAGAGTTAAAACTGTGTAGATGGAAGAGCTGAGATGAGCCCTCGCAGCCTCGGGGTGCTCTGCAAAGGTCCTGAACGGATTTTCTTGTAGGGAAACAGACTGCTGGACCGCCCCACTTGGGGCCTGAGGTGGGTCCCTCTGCTTCTTTCCCAGCAGAGGATTCCCTTGGGCATCTTGCTTTGATTTGCATTCATTAGTCCAACGTTTCACTCTCCTGCATCTCTAGCATAATGCCAGTTCCTTCCTCGTCCCTGGGCTTACTCTATTGGACACTGCCTGATCTAATGTCCCGTAAGACCACACCCAAGGCAGCTTCCAGAAGACCCTGCAGCCCACCTTCTCTCTGGGCCTTGATTTCTTTGTTGGGAGAAAACATCTTTAACTATCTTTCCCTGTAAAGCAGCAGCTGTAGCCAGTTCCTGTGCATATGAGGGGCCAATATCTGAACAGATCCAAATATAGTCAGAGATGTCACCTTTCTTTCTAAAAGACCTTAAAGCAGCTTTACATATTCCATTTTTGACAGACACTTGGCTCCCTGAAGCCATGGCCCACATCTGTCTGCTAGGCTAGGGCAGCTAGCTACATTCTTCACCTCTAGGCCATCCTGCCAGGAACCAGGGATCTTGGCCAGCAGCTGTCTGCTGGGCCACGCGGGTACAGTACACTCTCTGCAGCTGAGCGGCACAGTTGTAGACTGAAGACTGCAGCTGTGGCCGCAGCTCCCGGAGACGGGCCAGAGGCGGTGGCAGCTGCTTGCAAAGTCAGCCACGGCTCAGGCACACCACTTTTCCTGTTCTGAGCCTAGGAGCAACCTAAAAATGGCCACAGTTGCCCCACAGGTGTGGGAGAGGGAGAATGACAAAACCTAAAAATCTCTGCCTTTGTTTCAGCTCCACCCCCATTCCTCTGGCTATCAAAATATACCCAAGCTAAATATGTGTGTGTGTGTGTGTGTGTGTGTGTGTATTAAGTGTACAAACAATTCTCTACTCTTTACTTGTCCCATATCCACAAATTTTTATTTACAATTTTTTTTACTCCTGATATTTCTCTCTGCTTTTCTACTTTGATTATCTATTTGAGTGCCCACTTCTCACCTCTACACCTGCGGTGTGATATTCATGCGCGGGATCCATTATATTCTCCACCATTGTATCACACATCCAGCACCATCTGTCAGGGCCCAGCCTCAATGGGTTTGAACAGTCCAGGGTAAAGGCGAGTGGATTAGAAATGTTCGGCAGACAAAACAGAGATACAAAAGAAGTAAACAGAGGCAAGAGGGCAACCCAGTGAATTAAGAATTCACTTTATATACCCCACTCCAAAAGGGGAGTGGGGAGGCAAAAGACTTCACCAGACACAAAGAACAAACACAGAAATTACCTCTTTAATACCTAAAATATCTTGAGTTGAGTATTCTGTTGTTTAGGCAGGATGTGCAGCAACCACACCCTAGGCCAAGCACCCTATAGGCATCCACACCCTGGGTCAAATCTGTTGTAACCTTGCAGGAGCAAAAATAGGCTCGAACTCCGACCAGATTCACAGCGATGGGCTCTGACAGGACTGTCATGTCCTGGTACTTCTCTAACCTGCTCTATCTGGAGAAAGGTGACCAACACATCTCCTAAACCCAAAAGCCTGGTAGTTTAGTGGGGAAGATATTGACATCTAAGATGTCTAAGTTGCTGAAGATAAATAATAAATGTAATTACAGTGCTACAACATGCCACAAAAGCAAAGGAATTTTTAAATGCAATTGAGATCATTTATTTATTTATTTAGATTTATTGAGATCATATTCGGGCAGACGTCTTGAGGAAAGCACTATTTGTCCCTAGTTAGTAGTTGGAACATGGTTCAAGAACAGAAGAATCCTGTCAGAACAATTATGAATGCTTGCGAGAAAATTCCAAGAAAATAAGAATCTTGTGACCTCAGTTTCCTCAAAAACACAGAATTGTTCTTGGAATGTGGTTTCCTGTTCCCCCCAGGTGTATGAGATAGAAGTGAGTTTACTCCAGCTGTTGTCCATAAGCCTCCGTGGGAAAAGCATGTTTGCACCACGGGCAGCTTGTCCTTGTGACTGTAGACCCCACTCCAAAAGGGAGTGGTATGTAAAATGAGAAAAATTGTTTTTTTTAAAAAAAAAAGAATTAATTAAAAAGTAAATAAATAATAAAAATAAAAATGGGCTTGATATCTGGGAATGTTGGCACACACCTTTAATCCCAATACTTTGGAAGCAGAGACCCGAGGATTTCTGTGGGTTCAAGGATAGCCGGATCTACATAGTGAGTTCTAAGCCATCCAGGACTACATAGTGAGAGCCAGTTTCAAAAGTTAAAAAATAAGGAAAGGACACTGACACCACCGACACCTTAGCCGTGCCAGAGCCTGCAAGGAGACTGGCCATTCAACTGCCCCCACCTCGCCATCCACCTTGTCCTCAGATTTGTTCCAACAATCTGTTAAAACATGGTGGATTATTATGAAGTTCTGGGCATGCAGAGACATGCCTCACCTAAGGACATTAAAAAGGCATATTGGGGGCTGGAGAGATGGCTCAGAGGTTAAGGGCACTGATTGCTCTTCCAGAGGTCCTGAGTTCAATTCCCAGTAACCACATGATGGCTCACAACCATCTGTAATGGGGTCTGGTGCCCTCTTCTGACCTGTAGCAGACATGCAGACAGAATATTGTATACATAATTAATAAACAAATCTTTAAAAAAAGGCATATCAGTGGAACTGATTATCAATCCATACATCTTCGAACACCTGAACTTTGATAAAGAAGCAAAAAATATCAAATGGAAAGAAGAAAGCATATTTAACAAGTGGTGCTGGCATAACTGGATATCAACATATAGAAAAATGAAAATAGACCCATATCTATCACCATGCACAAAACTCAAGTCCGAATGGATCAAAGACCTCAACATAAAGCCAGCCACACTGAACCTTATAGAAGTAGGAAGTACACTTGAACGCATTGGCACGGGGAACAACTTCCTAAATAGAATCCCAGCAGCACAGACACTGAGAGAAACAATTAATAAATGGGACCTCCTGAAACTGAAAAGCTTCTATAAAGCAAAGGACACGGTCAACAAAACAAAACGACAGCCTACAGAATGGGAAAACATCTTCACTAACCCCATATCAGACAGAAGTCTGATTTCCAAAATATACAAAGAACTCAAGAAATTGGAAACCAAAAGATCACATAATCCAATTTAAAAAAAATAGAGTACAGACCTAAACAGAGAACTCTCAACAGAGGAATCTAAAACGGCTGAAAGACACTTAAGGAAATGTTCAATATCCTTAGTCATAGAGAAATGCAAATCAAGACAATTCTGAGATTCCATCTTACACCTGCAAGAACAGCCAAAATCAAAAACACTGATGACAACTCATGCTGGAGAGGTTGTGAGGAAAAGGGAACACTTCTGCATTGCTGGTGGGAATGCAAGCTGGTACAGCCCCTTTGGATGTCAGTGTGGCGATTTCTCAGAAAATTAGGAAACAACCTTCCTCAAGACCCAGTAATACTTCTTTTGGGTATATATCCAAAGGATGCTCAATCATGCCACAAGGACATGTGCTCAACTATGTTCATAGCAGCTTTGTTTGTCATAGCCAGAACCTGGAAACAACCTAAATGCCCCCAACTGAAGAATGACTAAGAAAAATGTGGTACATTTACACAATGGAGTACTACACAGCAGAAAAAAATGATGACAGCTTGAATTTTGCAGGAAAATTGATGGAACTAGAAAGCATTATTTTGATTGAAGTTGCCAGACATAGAAAGACAACTCATAGGTGGTTTCTAAACATAAAGCAAAGAAAGCCAGCCTACAAACCACAATCCCAGAGAACTTAGACAACAATACGGACACTAAGAGAGACTTTCATAGATATAATCTACATGGGAAGTAGAATGTAGAAAAAGACAAGATCTCCTGAGTAAGTTGGGATCATAGGGACCTTGGGGAAGATTGAAAGGGGAGGGAAGAGGCAGGGAGGAGAGCAGAGAAAAAATGTAGAGTTCAATAAATATCAATAAAAATGTATTTTAAAAAAGGCGTATCGGAAACAGGCACTTAAATGGTATACGAACAAAAATCCTGAAAATAAAGAAGCAGCAGAGTGGAAATTCAAGCAAGTAACTGAGGCATATAACATATGATCAGATGCAAAAAAAAAAAAAAGTGGGACATCTATGACAAATACGGAAAATAAGGATTTAATGGTGAATGAGGAGGAGGTGGAAGTCATTTCAACAGTCCGTTTGAGTTTGACTTCATTTTCCAGAATCCAGATGATGTCTTCAGGGAATTTTTTGGTGGAAGGGACCCATTTTCATTTGACTTCTTTGAAGACCCATTTGATAACTTTTTGGGAGCCGAAGGGCTTCCCGAAGAAATAGAAGCTGAGGTTCAGGCTCGTGGATTTGCCTTCAGTGGATTTCCTTCTTTTGGGGGTGGATTTCCTGCTTCTGATACAGGATTCAGTTCGTTCCGGCCACTAGGACACGGGGGTCTCACTTCATTCTCGTCAGCATCATTTGGTGGCAGCGGAATGGGCAACTTCAAATCAATATCAACTTCTACTAAGACAGTTGTTAATGGCAAAAAAAAAAAAATGACTACAAAGAGAATTGTGGAGAACAGTCACAGAAGCTGAAGAAAATGGACAGTTAAAGTTCTTGACGATAAATAGTAAGGGGCACCTGCTATGCTTGGATAACAAGTAATTCAATGCACGCATTTAACAGAAATGTTAAACCATAACAAACACCATTTGAGGAATAACAGGAACTTTTTTTGAAGATTTCAAACGAACTTGACTTTCTGTATAACTGTACCTAATCTAAAGTATTTACAAAATAGTTCATCGGAGCCCCTATTTGTCATAGACTTTTGAGTTTGTGGTTGAGATCACAAAATAGGACCTTTTTTTTTTTTTTTTGGTCTTTAAAATTGTTGTAACCTCTGTATGCACTTTGCTTTAAACAAAACAAAACAAACCGTATCTGTAATCCGAGGTGAGCCCTGTGACTCTTGAGTAGTGCTAGGAGGAGATTGTTCTCTGACGCCAGCAGGGGTCTGTTTCCCATTGAACTGTGAGTGAGTAGTGGAAGCCTGCTGTGAAGCTAACGTTGCCAGATGAACCTTCTGCAGAAATATTTCAATCTTATTTTCAGTATTTAGTAATGAACGCTATTACTGCATCAATGGTAATACGTTTCTGTTTTCTCATTGTGCATGGATGCTGTCAAATTTGTCAGTTCTGAAAATTGTTTAAGTAGGTAATGTTAAGCTTAGGTTTAAAAACACTGACAATTTGGGTCTTTGTTATTTGCTTAAAAAAGAAAACAAATGTAAATGTGTTTGGTGCATTCTTTCATTAAAAAAAAATAAGGAAGGGCTCTGGTGGGAGTGGAGGAATCCTCGGTGGTTAAGATCACTTACTGCTCCTCCATGGACTCAAGTTCAGTTCCCGTACCACGTCAGGGGGTTCACAAGCACCTGTAACTCCATTCTAGGGGAATCCAATGCCTCTGAGCTCTGAAGGTGCCTGCAAAGAGGCACACATGAACACATTCTTAAATAAAATAAGTATTTTAATCTGCAGAGTGAGTTCCAGGACTACAGGGATACACAGATAAACCCTGTCTTAAAAAAAAATTAAAGTATTTTAAAAAGGAACCTGGTAGTATAGAACTATAACAAACTACTAGGAAGGCTGAGGCAGGAGGATTTCAAATTCAAAGCTTGCCTGTATGGGTGACAGAGTTAGTTCAACTTAATAAGACCCGATCTCAAAATATATACAAATTAAAGAAGTCAGGCATAGTGGTGCTTGCTTGCAACCCCAACAATCAGGAAGCTAAGGAGGCAGGGGAATTATCACAAGTTTGAGGCTAGTTCTCGATACAGATAAATCTTGTCTCAAACTGCAATAAATTAATTAAAAACCTTAAAAGGAGGCTGTTCAATTAGTTCACTAGTAAAGTCACTTGCCACCAATTGGATGGTCTGAATTTGATCCCCAAAACTCATGCTGGAGAGAACCAACTCCCACAAGTTGTCCTGTGACCTACACATGTGCACTGTAGCACACCCATTCCCCTGATCCATACTAATAAATAAATAAATGTAATTTAAATTTTTTAATGGTTGAGGATAAAGCCCAGTGGTAGAATGCTTGCCTAGAATGCTCAACGCCCTTGGTACAATTCTAGCACCATAGAAAGAAAGAAGAGGAAGCAAGAGAGGGAAGGTGTCTTAGTTAGGGTTCTATTGCTGTAAAAGACACCATGATCACAGCAACTCTTATAAAGGAAAACATTTAATTGTGCTGTCTTACAATTCAGAGGATTAGTCCATTATCAGGATGGCAGGAAGCATGGCGGCATACATGGTGCTGGAGAGGTAGCTGAGAGTTCCACATCTGGATCTATCGGCAGCAGGAAGTCACTGGCACACTGACACACTGCCTTGAGCTTCTGAGACCCACCCCCCTAGTGACACACCTTCTCCAACAAAGTCCACCCCCCTAAGTGACACACCTTCTCCAACAAAGTCACACCTACTCCAACAAGACCACACCTCCTAATAGTGCCACTCCCCACTCCCTATGGGCCTTCCGGGTTCCATTTTATTCAAACCTCCATACTCTACTCCCTGGCCCCCACACACTTGAATCCATACCATAATACAAAATGCGTTTAGTCCAACTTTAAAAGTCCCCATAGTCTATAACAGTCTCAAACTTGTTTAAAAGTCTAAATTTCAAAGTCTCTTCTGTGATTCATGCAATCTTTTAACTGTAATTCCCTGTAAAAATCAAAATTAAAAAAAAAGCAGATAACATGCTTCCAATATATAATGGCACTGCCATTCCAAAACGTAGGAAAGGGAGCATAGTAGGGAAATACTGGACCAAAGCAAGACCTAAATCAGCTGGGCAAACTCCAAACTCTGCAACCCCATGTCTGATGTCAACTCGCTCTTCAGATCTCCAACTCCTTCCAGCTTTGTTGACTCTAACACACTTCTTTCTCTTGGGCTGGTTCCACTCCTTGTTAGCAACTCTCCTCAGCAGGTATCCCAGGGCTCTGATATCCCTGACATTTTCCCTTCTCCAAGGCAATTCAGGCTTCACCTTCACACAGTGGCCTCTCTAGGCCTCCATGCAGGGGCACCCCTGATTTGTGCCTGATCTCAGTGGTTTTTCTTACTCTCAAGGTAGATTCCATAAAACCTTTCTTCTATTATTGACTCTAAACTCAGAACCATGTGGACAAAGCTGCCAAGTTATACTGCTTACTGAGGCTGGAACATGGCCCCTTATTCATATACATTTTCACAAGCTTTCTGTTTTCAATGGTTTCCTTCACTGCCTAAGTTTGGTTGTTCTAAAAGTGGATCTTTCTTTAGACCTGGCTGGCATGGAACTTGGAGGTCCGCCTGCCTCTGCATCTGGAGTGCTGGGATTAAAGGCGTGTACCATCATACCCGCCTCTAAGCTTTTCTTTAATTCCTTTTCATGAGTTGGAAACTTAGCCTAGTGGAATCATGCCCTGAGGTCACCACTTCATTCATTCCATCTACCGTCAGGCTTCTCTTTAAATTTGTTTGTCTCCTTGAACACAGGACTTAGCTCCATGTTGCCTTCTGGAAAGCGGGAGCAGAAGGGAAAACAGAAGTTGAAGCATAATCATCGTATACATCTGTATTTCAAATTAGGATCCATTCTGCTGCAAGTCATAGAAAGCGAATTCGAATTAGGTTAATCAATGAAAGACTCTTTTGGCAAATGCAACTGAAAGTCAAACATGAGCCCTAGAGCAATTCAGTCAGGGCTTCTCCAGCGCTCCCCAGCTGTGCGGCTCTATATAAATATTGACTATATCCTTGGGCTGCCTTCCCAGGGGGCACATACTATCTGCTAGCAAATAAGAGACCCACATACTTTCTCGTTTGCACATCATGGAACAAAGCAGCATTTCTCAAAATCAGAGGATAAAGGTCTCATTCTTGGGCTGGAGAAATGACTCAGCAGCTAATAGAGAAGGCTGCTCTTGCCTAGGACTGGATTTCAGTTACCAGCAACCGTATCAGGTGGCTCACAACCACCTGTAACTCCAGTTCCGAGGAATTCTCTTCTGGCCTCCAGTTGCCCCCCAACACACACACACATTCATAACAAAAGTATAGTTTTAAAAAGCAGATTAGACTTTATTGATAATATGTCATACTTTGTTTGTGTGTGTTTTAATATACTTATTTTATATGTATGGGTGTTTTACCTGTATGTGTGTCTGTGCGTGTACCATGAGGGTGTCTGATGCCCAAGGAGTTCAAAAAGGGATGTTGGATAGCCCCGGAGCTGCCATATGGGTCCTGAGAACCAAACCTTGGTCCTCAGAAAGAGGATTCAGTGCTCTCAACTATTGAGCCATCTTTCTAGCCACCAGTTTGTATGTTTTTTAAGACCTATTATTATGCACACATGAAGTCCAGAAACAACTTATGAGGAGTACATCCTCTCCCTCCTTCCCCGGTGTGGGTCCCAGGATCAAACCCAGCTGTCAGGTTCCAAGACAGGTGTCCTTACTTGCTGAGCTATATGACCAGTCCTTTGCTTTGTGGTTTGGTTTTGTTTTGTTCTTTTTCTTTTTTTGAATACCACACAAAACACAGGTATGTTGATTTCATGACTTTTTGCTTGCAGTGCCAAATGCAACGAAATACAAAATATTGATTAAGTGAACACTGGTTCACATCTGTAAGGCAGCAACTAAAGGTTAGGTTTCAATTAGAAGCATTTAACTACCTTCCAAGCAATTAGTATTAGTCATTTTTTAATTAGTCTCTTTTTTTTTAAGAGAGATGTAGCCCTGACCAATCTGGAATTCACTCTGTAGATCAGGGGTCTCCTGTCCCTTCACTGGGTGCCGAGATTGAAGGCCCACCCAGTTCGCCTGCCAGCTTTGCATCTTCGGATGCCAGCAAGGCAACTTTTTTTCAGTACTGGAAAAAGTTTAAATAAAAGCTATTACTTGTAAACTTCTACGCACAATATAATTCTCCAAGTAGAAATAGAAATTAAACTTTGAGCCAGGTGTGGGTTTTGTGCCGTTTAACCCCAGCACTCAGGAGGGGCAGAGGCAGGCAGAGCTCTGTGAGTTCAAGGCCTTAAACTCAGAGATCCACCTGCCTCTGCCTCCCAAGTCCTGGGAATAAAACTCTACCATTCATAGCTTATATTCTTTTCTTTTATTCTCTTTTCTTTTTCTTTTGAAAGATTTAGGAGGCTGGAAAAGTGGCTCAATGGTTAAAAGCACTGGCTGGGAAGACCCGAGTTTCCAGCACCCATATGATGATTCACAATCATAACTTCAGTTCCTGAGGATCTGACGTTCTTGTGTCTTCTGCAGCTACTAGGCATACACAGATGCACATACTACATACAAACAGGCAAAACACTCATACACATTAATGACTAAATAAATAAAATTTTAAAAACATGTCCTTTTTTTAAAAGAGAAAATAGAGAGGCAAAAGTCAGGCATAACTATACCTACAATTTTTTTTTTGAGATGATGTCTTATCTACAGCCCAGGCTGGCCTCCAATTTGAGTGTTCCTCCTTCCTCAGCTCCCCAAATGCTGGGATTACAGGCATGTGCCACCACACCAAGGTCAGACATTGGGATCGACAGGGTTAAACCCTGCCTCTGTTCTTCCTGGTTGTGACTTGAGACAAGATATGTAATGTCTCCCTTACTTCAGTGGGGAAATGGAGCTCAAAATGCCACCAAGGGTGGCGGTGGGAGAGTCAGTGGACACAAAGCCCAGACCCTCTGACCTCCAGTAGCTTGAAGAATTGTGGGAATGCCATCCCCTAAAGAGCAGAAGCAGTGACTACCAGTACGGATGGAACCATGGTATCTTAAGGTCAGGGAATGTTCCTAGCATCTAGAGTAGGAAGGCTTTGTGGGGAGAGAAGCAATGAAAAGTCAGAAAGAGCCACAGGACAAAGAGTTAAGTCAAACCTTCATCCTCTAGGTAATGAAGAACAATCAAAGACTTAGGTACACTCACGGCTAATAGCGAATTCTAGACGGCCATTGTGAGCATCATGAAAAAGGCCAGGGCAACTGTGTGGGGCCATGCCAGAGAGTCGTTGAACCTTATGGGAACTGACATGGGTTATACACTCAGGCTATAGCTACAGAATGTCAGCCTTTCAGATGGAAATGGAAAACTTCAGTGGAACATCTGGTTGTTTAGTCTACTCGACATCAAAGCGAGGCTGTTCTGCGGCTCTCAGATGTTCTCATCTTCTTCTAAGGGGCCCGGGAGACATAACCACTGCTATGATCTTTGTCAGATTTAGGCTTGAGGGTCTCTGTTCTTTCTTTCTCTCTTAATTATAAAAACATTTCTTCTGACAACATAAAAGAATTTTTTTAAAGAAAAGCAAAAATAATTTAACTTTATCTCTCTGACACAACTGGTTTTCCTTTTGCGTACTTTATAAGCAAGTACAGCTAACATTGCTAACCCA